CAGAAAATGCGAAAAACTATTTCTTAGCACATGATAATCATATGGGCAAGGACGAGTTTACCTTAGATTTTTTTTAACAAATTATAATAAAAATTTGCTCCAGCTTTTGCTGAAAGGTAAATAAAAGCTCTGGGTGCATTTTTAGCGCATAATCTCAAAAATGTAAATTTTGAGTTGTGACTCTTTTGAAGATGGTTTTTATTCTCTGGTAATTTGGTAACTTCCGATCTCATTTGGTAACTTTCAGACGAAATGCTTACGGCTCTATTCTGTATCAGTGACAAATTCTTGTCACAGTTTTTATTACGGGAAAATATATGAAAAAGTTTAAATTTATCAGGAAAAAAATGTTGTCGCTGATACAGAATTGGGCTGTTAAAATCATTAAAATATTTTTGAATATTATACAATATTTGCGGCAAAGTTGCATACACGCAGTTAATTTCTTATTGAATGATTTTTTTTTCTGATGATAGATATGAAATTGTGATTTATGATTGGCGATAGGGTCATGGTGTAGGCTGCGGTCTTTCAAATTTAGAAGATTATTATTTGAGTTTTTCACCAAAAAATTATCTAAACGACATGCATTGAAATATAAGTCGGGATTTTAATATTAACCTGTGGAATAATGAAGCTATCCTTGCCTCAGAGATTTATTTTCGTACTATTTACATAGCAGTTTACTGAAAATGTTAAAGTTATTTTACTATTTTAAAGTTTAGTTAAAATTGCTTTGAAAACGGAAAATTGGTCATAAGATATGTTTAAATTTAATCAAAAAACAAAATACAAGGAATTGGTCCAAAGAGGTAAAAGTCTATATATCAATGATTTCACTGGGACATAAATATGAATTTTTGTTCTGCCACTATGTAGAATAGCTCGCGGATTCCGAAATGCGAGTAAATTTTTTTTCTGTGGACAAGTTTTCCATATTTTGTAATGTATTTAAAAAAAAAATGGTTGAAACTGTAGTGAAAATTAAAAGTAGGTTTTTCGCTTGTAAAAGAAGGTCGATGTTTTTTAAAGTAGTGTTGCTTGGACAGGTTTTTTACATTTAATTTCTACAGCGTACGTCCCGTTAATAGGGAAAAAATTTTGAAAATAAAGGAGTTTTTATAAATTTTTTTGTAATGAAGTCAAGCTACTAACAAAGAAAATCGATAGATAAATAAAACAGTTGTGTGGCAACTTTCATATAAGCTCGAAAGTGTAAATGTAACGCCCATTGTTTTTTAACTACAAAAGAAACAAGTAAAAAAGTCTAAGTTCGGGTGGAGCCGAACATTAATTACTCGGCGCAAGTATTAAATATAGTTTTTCAACTTTCTGAAAACTGCCGTTACATGGTAAGAAGAGTGGTTATACTTAATGAGATAGACTTATATAGTTAGATGTGGGCGGTATCACGCCCACTTTCCAAAATTCTATAATAATGTTACTTTTTTCGCCGGATTGTTGTTGGTATTCATTTTTAGTAAATTAGCGTCCTTAAATTTCGAAAGATCGAAGTCGCTATTTCTGAACTCGTCGGGCCAGTGCTCGCTGCTACTTGCAGAGGTGGTAAGATGTCTGACGTCGGTATGCCTGAAGAGTTCATCAACACGAGAAGCTGGTACTTTTGCTCGATAAAGCGTTCTTCTGCTGCTCTCTTTTCCTCGAGCATGGCCATCATAAGCTGTTATCGGTAACTTCCATCGCTGGAACCATTTTGCGTTCCGATAATTTCATTTAACTTAAGTGCATCTGCGCTCCCTTGACGATCGGTGTGATTCGGCTGAGTAGCCGAGTGATCGGTGCCAATTGCTTAACTAGCCGATTCCAACACTGTCTGTTCAGGTGTGGGGGCCGTTGATGTAGTTGATTGCTGCATTGTGTGTTCGCGAGTGTGTAGTGCACCTACACTAGAAGCCTCCTTCATTCAGGAAGCGCAACTCCAATTACAGTATTGCACGCTCTCGTCAACGCCAACACATTTGAAATGGAACCACAGTTCGCAATCGTCGCACTGCACCCAATCTTCTACGCTTTCTTTGTCAAAAGTACAAAGTATGTAAGATTTGCCCAAGTGCTTGTATAAATACGTGCCGTGTGGGTGGAAATTTGACAGTGCACCAGACATTGGGTCCTCTAGGAACTTATGCTTTAGATTGCCTCGATATTTATCCTTACGAACGCAATAGCCACGTGCACTCTGCAGAGGGATCGCGATTCCAAGTTAATTTACCGAGAGAAATTTTTTAAAGATTTGTTGCTGACGGAGAAGAGAAACGAATTCGGCTTTTCTAGCCGTCTAACTATTTATTTAATGTTGTTAATTCAGTTTTTTTTACAAAATATATGGCCTGTGCCAATTAATAGAAAAGAGAAAAATTTGACGGACATAATTAAAATTTTGACATTTTTCGTGGTGAATAGGACCGTCAGAATTTTACCTATATTGTTTATTTATTAATTTAATAAGAGGCTCCCTGTACTCTGGCCCAGAAACAATTTTTCGTATAAACGTGGCAGCACTTTCGTTATCACAAAGGTCATAGAATATGGGCCTGTGCCAATTGATAGAAAAGTTCTATGGTGGAAAAACTTTTTACTATGGTGAGAAAATTTTACATTTCTGCTGTGCCAATTCGTAACTTTTTACTGCTGGAAATTTTTGACAGTTGCTTTGATGCACAAGAAGACTATCGTGTTTGCTATTTATAAAATGCAGCAATTATATAGAAAATATTTGCCTTTGATGATTTCAATTCTTCTGGAACTGAAATCCATGCATTTATTAGACCTTTTAGCAGTAATATTAGAAATAAAAACACGTCAAAACCGTCTGGTAAGTGTGTTCACAAAAATGTTTAAAACCGTGTACAATTGTTTCCAATAAAAACATATGTCGTTTTAGGGTATTATGTACATGCACCAAGACGTTTATTCCAAAATACTAAGCAGCATTTTGAACGGCGATAACAAGACTACAAAAATGTATCTTAGGTTGCCCTCTGCTTCGTTTCGAAAAATTGTAACTCACATTCCCAAAAAGCGCCACGGATGGTCAGGGGAGTACGAAGTCATTTGCTTAATAAAGTCTTCAAATTATTTATATTGTTCCTTCCAGCCTTCGTTGCTGTTGGCGTTCTTTGAACTGAACCAAACATCCTTGTCAATGCGCTTTTCCAGAAGGATTCTGCGTTCTGAACTGCTCCCTGTAAAATAGTATTTTTAATTAAAAAAATACATAACGCCTTTTCATATGTAAATCTGAAATTAAATCTTACAAGTTATATAGCTTTTCTTTATTTTTTTTGCCGGCGGGACCATGTTCTTTTATTTCCACTCGCTTTTGTTTTCTTTAATTTATGTGTATACGTGCGTTGTTCGTTCTTCTTCTTGATAATGCTTGCTGTCAAATTTTTCACTAGCCCTGCCGTATCAAACATTTTTATTCACCTCATAGCTGTCAAAAATTTACTACCCAGAGAACTTTTCTATCAATTGGCACAGGCCCTATGAGGGAGCCATAAACATAGCCAGCATCCTTGTTTTCTATATCTCTGGTTATGTTTTATTCTGTCAAACTAGTGCTCTGGCTATATTTTGTAAATTTTAAGGTCTTTATAATTGCTTAAGTTTTTTTTTCTAGTTTGATTTAGTGACATTCTAGTTTGAATTTAGTGACATTATAAAAAAATAATAATTTCCTCGAAACAATCATGGATATAAAAAATATAAGCTGTAGATGCAGTGGCGAAAATATAATAAGGGAATAGACATTTTAGGATTCTTTGGCTACTCCTCTCGATTATTTAATGTTTAGTATTAACGTTTATTATTTTTTACCAAAGTGTAGCTCTTTATCTAACAAAGATCATGTAAGTCAAAATTTCAAACTTTGTACAAATGAGCGAAACTCGACAAAGATTCACCAATATTTTGAGCTTTTTGATTAGATTTCTTAGAAGCATTATGTGTACCGTTGATTTTTGGTAAATTTTTTTGTGGAAGTGTTGCCATTTGCTCCATACAAAAAAATTTTAAACATAGAACTTTGGATGGAAGAAAATCAGAGAACAAAATAGTGCCAAAGATCAAGGGTACTACTTCAAACTTGCCCTTTATTGTACTAAAATTTAATGGGCTATATAACTGGCAATTCCAAAAAATCTGATTAAAATGTTTAAAATTTTAACTCGTCGAATTTTTTTAAATGTTCTACAACGTTTTAAATTTTGAATTACATGTTTTTTTAGATAGTAAGTTATATTTTCATAAAAAAATAATAAATATTTTTTAAAAAAAGAAAAGTTACTAAAACTTGCTAAAATGTTTCTTCCCTATTTACATTCTCGCCACCGTATAGATTGTGTGTATAGACTTTTGCGATAATTTTTTAATTTCTTCTATTTGTTTTGTTTTAAATAAAACTGTATTAAAAGATATTATGTCTTTTTTATTCTAAAAACAAAATTCTGTGTTCAGATTCGATGATTTCGATTTTTGGCCACGGAAATCTAGTCACGGTACCTATAGGTAAAATTATGACAGCTTCTAAATATGTATACACATAACATTGTCTGGCGGTATTAGAGGGAAAATCAAAATGGAAGCTGAAAAATGAACAAAAGAGCGCACGTTACTTGTAAGTTGAAAAATAAATATAAATTTGAACAATTTCAGCAACACACAAAAATAGAGCTTTCGCACGACCGTTTATTTGGTTTTTGAACTGTCAAAATTTTATTTTGCATTTGGCATAGCAAAGTTTAATTTATTTGTTCACCATAGTATTTTTGTTACCTCGTCCAACCACGGAGAAAAATGTTGCCGCCGATTGGCACACAGCCTTAGTCTCTTGCTCTTCTCGGGTATGTTCACAGTTACTTTCAGGGTTGCCTTAGGAGAAATGGTTTCAATATTTCCAGGTGGTGAATTTGGTAAAATTGGGCAACAATAACCATAACGTATACTACTTTAAACGATTGAATGAAAAAATAAGACGACCATTTTAAGAGACGTTAGGAACAGCCATATTTTATTTTTATTAAGTTTACTTTAAAATATATAATTTACTTTTTTAATTTTATTTTACGGGCACATCTATGCAAAAAATACCGTTTTCACAGGTAAAAACAATTTATTATATTTATATACAGCATGTTTTTAGTAGTTGGGTCTATGGCATTTAATTATCCATTGTGATATTTAGTACGTCTAAAAATACTCCCATTGGCGTTGAAGGATTGAAACTTTCCATTGTATTGACCACTTTGTTTTTAATATTCCTCAACCGCAAAGAAGCATGTACAAACGTCACTATAAAAGAAATAAAGAAGAATATCAATAATCAAGTTTTAATTTTATAGCACAGTTTAAGGCTGCAGAGAGGACAAAGGGAAGGCACGGTATCGCAAGTAAACTTTTTCATGACATATCCTCACACTCTTCTCACTTCCGCTGTCAAACTCCTTAAAAAAGGATTGTGTTTTTCGTGGGTTCTACTCAGAAATGCTGTGATTAATGAGGGTTGTTATTTTGAAGCGTGCACAAAGTCTATGTAAGAAAAAGTGTTATTCCTAGAATTATTGTCGATGACTTATCTTGTAATGGCGGCAATGTAGATTTTTAAGTAAATAATAAGTCCCGTAAATTTTGTTTCCGAATTTCTAGTCAAAGCTAGATATCAGGCATATTCTGCAAATTNAATTTTGTTTCCGAATTTCTAGTCAAAGCTAGATATCAGGCATATTCTGCGAAATTATTATTATTCGAAATTACGATTCGAAATTGCACGCCTTATTAATTAAACCTTTTTTGGAGATTATTGAGCTTTGTACCACGATTGTTTATTAGGGAAAATTGAAAAAGCAACAAAGTCTAAGCGGTAGAAGTTATAGCACTATTTCGGAGATCACCACATCTCCTCATCAGACTTCTTTTTTCTAGACTTCAGCAGGGATCGAACCTGCGAATTCGATGTTCAAAGTCAGAAGCGTTAACCACTGAGCTATGTACATCCCGTAAACTCTTGTTGCTAATTCATTTTCCTTATTCAACCAACTACTATCAAGTGCAGCTGATTTGCCGCTATTTAAACTCGACAGCGTGGTTGTTGTTGTCAATTCTATACATCCATTTGCTTATTTGCTTTTTTGTATAGTTTCAGGCAGGCTCTTCCTAAACTATGTATTTGTCAATGTTATTGTGGCTTGTTAACATTTTATTTTTAATATTTTTATTGAGCTTTGTACCCCGATTGTTTATTAGGCAAAATTGAAAAAGCAACAAAGTCTAGGCGGTAGAAGTTATAGCACTATTTCGGAGATCACCACATCTCCTCATCAGACTTCTTTTTTCTAGACTTCAGCAGGGATCGAACCTGCGAATTCGATGTTCAAAGTCAGAAGCGTTAACCACTGAGCTATGTACATCCCGTAAACTCTTGTTGCTAATTCATTTCTCTTTATTCAACCAACTACTATCAAAGGCAGCTGATTTTCCGCTATTTAAACTCGACAGCGTGGTTGTTGTTGTCAATTCTATACATCCATTTGCTTATTTGCTTTTTTGTATAGTTTCAGGCAGGCTCTTCCTAAACTATGTATTTGTCAATGTTATTGTGGCTTGTTAACATTTTATTTTTTAATATTTTTATTGAGCTTTGTACCACGATTGTTTATTAGGAAAAAATGAAAAGGCAGNATTCAACCAACTACTATCAAGTGCAGCTGATTTGCCGCTATTTAAACTCGACAGCGTGGTTGTTGTTGTCAATTCTATACATCCATTTGCTTATTTGCTTTTTTGTATAGTTTCAGGCAGGCTCTTCCTAAACTATGTATTTGTCAATGTTATTGTGGCTTATTAACATTTTATTTTTAATATTTTTATTGAGCTTTGTACCACGATTGTTTATTAGGAAAAAATGAAAAAGCAGCAAAGTCTAAGCGGTAGAAGTTATATCACTATTTCGTAGATCACCACATCTCCTCATCAGACTTCTTTTTTCTAG